TTATCTTATCTATACCAGCCCTTTGGCCATCCAGATGGAAGATAATCTAAGCGCCTATTCCCAGAGATCTCCTCCCTCTGATCATTAGTTTTCCTTGTTAATCAGGCTGCAGTAGTGTTTGGAGGCAATTTGTCTGGCTGTCTGAAAAGTGATGCACAATGGCTTGTCCTTTCTGTTGCTGGTCAAAGGTCACCTGGTAGGGGTCAGGCTTTCCAGCTATATTATAATGTTTTTAGAATTAAACAGTTTTGACCACATAGAGAACGAGGGTCAGAGGCCCTGCCTAGGTAGCACATAGTGAGCCTTCTATTTATGCTTTCAGGAAGGAGAAAGGGGGAAAAGGGAAGTGTGTGGGGAGAAGAAGAAATGAAAGAAAAAAGAAAGAGAGGAAATAGATTGTGTAAATAATTAAGAAGGTATAATTTGAAAACACTATTTGCAAATAAAAAGATAACTTTTGTTACTTTGCACCCCAGGCCTGAACCTGAAGGACCAAACATTGCTTTTAAATGATTTAAAACAATTCTTGAGAAGCATACATTTCGGTCAACACAGTGATTTATTCCTTTCCAAGAACAGGAATTTTGCAGAAACAAAGTCCTCAAAAATAGTAGGAAAACACACAAACAAATAAACAAGATTTTTGTCATAGAATTTCTTATCCTTGTCCTTGGAACTTATGGATTAAAAGATAGACTTCATTAAAATAAGATGTCTGAGTGCTTCCATATGCATGTTTTGCTGGGCACTGAAAATAGGTACGCTGGGTTTGATTTCAAGTCCTGTAATTTCATACAGTAAATTTGTTTTCCTGAGGAACATGAAGACAAGATAATAAATTACACCCTTTCTGCCTACTATTATATTATGTCTTTTTCTATTTTCTCTCATGCTAAGAGTTATGAAAATCATTCAAGTGCTTCCTTATCTTACCATTGCAAGAGCTTTCAAGTACTAAGAAACTCAGTTCTTTCTCTTAATTAAAATTCATTGGGGAAATGAATGGAACATGACATGTACATTTATTGTGTATGCTAATTGGACCCAAATCTTTTGGAATTGCTGGACATTTGGACATAGACTAGACTGAAATCAACTGTATTTCATCTTCCATCAAAGAGCTTACTAAGCAGAATTAAACAGTACTTAAATTTATATTTCTGAAGGAAAAATCCTTTTTAAAGAGTGAATCATATTTTTTAAGTAAATTGTGTGAAGTACATGTTCTAACTATTTATTAAAGCAGATCATGATGGATCTTGACTGAAGAGCACTTTACATAGTACTTTAAAAGCACTTGGTGTGTGGTTATTAGTTTTTTTCCTGAAAAATGAATGCTTTTAAAAAATAGTTTAAATATATGTCTCAGACACACAGTCACCTTGGCTCATTTAATTTTGAGAGACTGATTATGAATGCAAATTACAAGAAAATGTGAATGTATTTACCATCTACTCCTGGTACTTTCAGGGTTGTAGGGTGATAGCAGTTAGTGGCGGAGTGATGTTTACAAGACTGCAGGTTCTGAGCAGAACTGTGGGCAGTCCCTGCTTTATAAATGTCCTTCTCTGGAAGAGTGCTGATCCGTGGGTCTGCTGTTGTACCAAGGGTATGCAGAACTTTCTTCTTTATGAGAAACTGTTTCTCAGGGGTAAATTTATATTGTCCTACATGTGTTTTAAACATGGGCTTAGAGGTTGTAGCCTTAGAGCTTTATTAAGTACCCTGATAAATAATTAACTTTGCAAATTACAAATGTGTTTAATTTGGCTTTCTAACCTATAGTTCTAAAACCAAGTGTGCCCTTCCTAATTTGGAAATATTTTCTTTCTGGTTTTTATTTTGACTTGTCCCCAGCTATCTACTTGTGGTTGCTATTTTTAGCATCCCAGAGGAGCTGCTTCCATGGTTGTCATAGTGCAGACAAACACAAGAAAACCAAGAACTCAGTGCTTTCATAAAGCATTTATTTTTATTTGAAAACATTATACAGGCATTACATTGCCACAGCCAGTCCATAGGGGTGCATGCAAATATCAAAAATGGACAGTTTGTTCAACTCATCAGTGTAAATTTCCTTTTTGGTTCATATTTTTCATCTGCAGTGTCAGGATTAGTGTGCTTTGTTATGTGGCTTAACAATAGAATCCTACCCATGGGGTAAAATCTGTACTGGCAGCTAGCTGGGGACTACTAGATGGTTACAAATAAAAATAAACCCAAAACAAATAATACTACACGCTTGTCAAAAGGTTAATAGCACAAGTTAGCAATATCTAAACTAAACATTGAAACATTTTCATGAGACAAATTTTCAGTGGTGCAAATTTTTCCATTGCTTGGTCTCCCTTGATGTGTGTGTTTCAGAGTTTGGAGCCATGGGAAGGTGTGACCAAGGCAAGATCGGTCCCCAGTGCAAGTTTTCATTGAGGAATGAGAACCACTACTCATCTCTGGCAGGGTTTAGGAGAGCTGTGGTTTGCTCTTAATCAAATTTTATACAAGTTGCTAAAGTTTCTTTGTTGAGGAGAGAGTGGTGATGGATTGGAAAGCTGAAAGTTTTGCTGGTGTCTACTGAGGTTATGAAATCTCAGAAACTAAACGGCTAGAGTTAATATCGCCCTATTCCCATATCCCACCCCACTCCCCAAGGACCAATGTTTTCACACAAAAAAAGAATTTGTTTTTTACTTTTTTTCCCCCTTAAGGGTCAGTCTGGAACTTATGATCTTAGACAATTCAATGTGTTACCAGCCTTTCTAAATGGAGACAAACCAACACAGTGAGGTAACCCAGTGACATGGAAGTCTGATTACAAGGACACTGAATGATAAAGGTATACAGTGAATTCATCTTGACCTTCACACTTGGTTTCCATTCAATGGAGTCAATTAAAATATCCTATAAAATAACTCATGTGTTGACCTTTAACCATCAGTTGATTGCAAACATTTTGGAAATTTAAATTAAAAAATAATTCCAGTCCACTGAGTAGACTTGGAAATAGTTTCAGCCACTTGCTTTTCATAAGACTACTAAGTGTCTACAAATTAGTGTCATAAGAATGAATTGAAGAGACAAAAACATTTGGCTTAAAATAAATACTAAAAATGCAATAAATCAAGCAAATTATGCAAACCAAAGGAATGTAAACACAAAAATAAAACCACAGTCTTTAAAGGTCTTCAGATCTGAATGGACAAAATATTCAGAGAAAGGTATTTAATTGGTTTAAAAGGTAGCAGAGAGCAGATGTTGACAAGGGTGTTTTGATTTGATGTAACCTTAACATTTACCTTTTTCCCCCCATAGAAAATGAAACATGTTTTTAAGGGAGCTGAACTGACCCTGAAATCTACACATTAGAGAAGATCATGTTTCTTCCCGTCTCCTGGGACAGGACCATCCACACTGTGTAAGTCAGGTAAAATGGCCACAGGAGTGCTAGCAGGAGCAGGGGATAAGTTTGCCTGCCATCTTAAGGTCTTGTTCAGGCTCTACTCTGTCCTCTATGGATACCCCACTGGTGTTTTGCCTTGCTTGCTTAGGATGTATTTATTTGAATTGCCAAATTTTCATAAACATTTATACAAATCCTGATATTCCATTGAAGATTTCTTTGAATGGTATTTAGGTTAGCCAAATTCAAAGAGTACTTCACATTCTGCCACACAGAATCTATTCTAAATTAAAGGGTTCTTTATTTCCTGTGTTTGGCAAAAAGGTTCTCCATTTCCTGTGTTTGGCAAAAAGGGCTATTTTATGGGCAACAGATTAGACTAGTGACATATCACTCAAAGCCTTATTAGGACACTGTAATATTCTCTATATCCATAAGAATGTGTGTCAATATAGTCTGTTATTGGATGGATGCCAAATATGACCATAATGCCAGACTTTTTCAATGGTGACATCATTACCACTATGAAGTGACCAGAGCAATTGAGCTATTATTAGAGATTGCTCCACATCAGTACCTTGACTTTAGGAGGTGGCATAACCAATGATACTCCACAGCAAAGATAATTTCCACGTTGGTGTACTTCAAAAAGGCTTCCATATAATTAGGAGGGCAGAGGACCATGGCTTTTTCCAGTGCCTTGAATAATTTCCACATTATTAGTAGGGAAATCTAGGGGGGAAAATTGTTTTTGAAGCAAGGATATAGGGAGAGGATGAAAGGTTTTAAAAAACATATCTAACCCTAAACACAAATGCTATTATTTCTGGGGTTTCTCGAAAGTCACAGAAATGGAACAGTCCTTGTCCTGTTATTATGGGGACTTGATCAGCAGAATCGCATGGCACAACAGAAAGGCATGGCCTGGAGTAATCAGAGATTGAAATATAAAAAGGCTAAAATGTTTGTTTTATATCTATTCCTAGAATAGAGAATTATGGTCAGTTGCCCCTCCCCACAAGGGTCACAGCACAAAATACTTATTGAGCAGGCAATCCAACAGGTACCAGAGGAAACCATTAGCCACCAGGTCCCTAGGATAAGGAAACTTCTCAGGGGTGGAGCTCCTGTGGCATGCATCACTTATAGAGTCTGTGCAAAAAATAAAGTATGATTCTTAAAAAGTGGCTTGCCATAGAAAAGAGGGATTTATGTTGACTGCGTGTGGGTCTGGCAATAGTTCCTATTGGGAGTACAAAACCTCCTCCTGAAAATCAGTGTAATAACAGTAACAATAATAATACAAATCATAATAACAATAATACTTGTTTTTGATTCAAAAATATTCACAATAATTAATGCAGGGGGGTTGTGATCAGGATACGCACTAGCTAGGCATCTCTCCAAGTCAGGTGGATGGGAGCCTGTGTCTCCAGTGATTTCCAGCTTGTTCCTTTTACAAGCTTTTGGAGGATTTGCTACCTTGCAGTCCACCTATGTAAACTGCACCTAATAAATACCTTTCTCTATGTACAATACAGAGATGATGGGCAAACACATGGCCACTGATCTGTCTTCAGTGGGCAGGGTGGGCCTCCCGCTAGGCCACACGAACGTGGGGTTCCTCTTCTGTCTCCTGGCCCAGGCTGGTGTAGGTGACTGAAGGCTCCACCTGAGCTGTGGTTGGTAAGTCCACAACAGGTCCTGAAGGATTGCGGAACTGCTTGTACACTCGGGGGTCCTGGGCTATGTAGGTGGAGGTGGAGGAGTACAGCACTAGCCCGATAAGGATGGTGAAGAAAGACAAGAGATAAAGTCCTGAAAACTAAAAACACAACAGCAAGGTCATTTAGCAGCCAGCGCAGAAAGACTGCCACATTAATGAAGCCCAGTGAGGCAGGAGGAGCTGCTTCCTTATGAACAGGCAGCTTGATGGGTTGGCCAATACATGTGATGAAAAGTGAATTTTCTCTTCCTATACTAGCTTGGTCTTATTGATTCCCCTTATCTTTTTCTAGACCCTGTGGCTAATAAGAGGAACACTTAGCTAATTGTCTCTAAAGTGCCAATCTAAGTACCTGGTATGTTGGGAGAGTTAGTTAAGCACAAATTAAAATACATCAAGTTAAAAGCAAAAAAAAAAAAAAAAAAAAAAAAAAAAAAAAAATCCCCAGCATCACTCAATAAAGACTTGCTTATTTGTGGCCTCATTAAACCCAAATGAAATACAGATATTCTGTTTAGGGTTGTAATGAAGCCATAAACAAGGAACCCCTCACTGACAGCTGCATCAGGAAACTCTGGTTTCACCATAATCCAATGCAGACATTATCTATCTTTTCAGTAGGAACAACTATTGACTTTGGTAACTATCTTTTTTTTTCCCCAAGATTAGATTATTCTTTGACAGGAAGAAACAGTACAACATTCCATCCCTGCCCTGCTAATCAAAAAGCAAACCAAATAGGATTGTCCAGATAGCATTCTTTACCCGAAACTGCTTGCTTGACAATTCATGGAGTTTGTGTGTGTATGTGTGTCTGTGTGTGTGTGTGTGTGGGGTAATTGGTTTATACAAATCCCAAGAATTCACATATTCTTGAAAAATTACAACTTTGGGACTTTCTCGAGCAGTTATACTGGAAGTACTTGAGTAGTCACTAGGGGAGATAAGGGAACAAGATGAGTGTTTTCATTTTTCTTGTTTCACTCCTTCATTCAATGAATATTTCTTGCAATGCCTTCTCTGTATCAAACATTGAATTATATTCTGAGGAAAGAGAAATGAAAAATATGGCTGGTCTTGACCACCAAGGCCTTAAGAGTCTCACTGGAGAAACAGAGGCACAGACACACAAAAGCAATACAACACACTTATAGAGAGTCAAGGCTCATTTCAGTCAATAGCTATTATCCCAGTCTTGACCACTTCCTGTATCCATGGGAGAAAGGGATCAATTTTATTTCCTACTGTATTGTTTATGCTCAATTCTGGAAGAAATAACAACTGATAAAAAGAGAAAAATTCATTGGGGGCTGGAAGAAAGGAGAATAGGAAAATGACCCAGTAGGTTGTGAGGCTAAAATAAAGAGCTAAAAAAAAATAGCTATAAATGGTGGTTCAATAATAGGAAAGGCAGTCTTGCAATATGACACAGAAAAAAGGTATCTCTGTAGCTAAAAGTCTCTGCCACACTGTTTGTTCACTTTTTTGCTTTCTGCAGGTACAAGGTTGCTAAGACTAAAGGTCTGATTTTCTTTCTATAGCAGTCCTTGCCCTGACCCCCAACTCCTTTATTTTTCACATTCCAACCAAATGATGACACTTCATCAGATGGATTTATGTACTAGACTCAGCTTGAAATAGCTTCACTTAATTAACTTGAAATAATTAATTCAGTTTTCCCCAAAGAAATGTGCCTAATTCTTTGATTCATGAATTTGTCAAATAAAATGATCAGGAAAGAAGATCGTTAACTCAGAAAGCCTACTTAATCCCAAATTTGCTTCCTGAAATTCTATATTCAAGAGCTTCACCCTTTATCAGGAACTTTAGTACATTAAATGGGTTCAATCCCAACATTATAAGATCACTTCAAATATTTTGTAAATGACTTTCACTTTCAAAACTCTACGTGTGTCTTTTCAGGTCAAGTATGAAACTTTGCATGGTCTCAGGTATGAGCCTGCCTCTCTTCTAGCAGATGGAGGTAGAGAGATTAAGAATGGGAGCTCATTCCCACCACCAAACTGGAATCATAGCTTTATTCCTTTCTAGCTATAACCATGGAAAATTTTCTTAAGTTTTCCAGGTCCAAGCTTCCTTGTAATCAAGGGCCCCTACTGTGTAGGAGGTTATAAAGATCAAGTAAGATAAAGCCTGAAAAGCACTTATCACAGTACCTATCTTGTAGCAGTCATTCTGTTGGTTTCATTGTTGTTGCTATTGTTTTTGTACCACTTAAAAGGACATGGAACCATAAGATTGAGTGAAAAATCCACCAGAGAGTGCTTTCTTGTGCCACAGCTTTGGAACAACAACACATATTGTATTTCCAATGCATTTCTATTTAATTCATACAGAATTCCCTCTAAGATTGCTCTAAAGATAGATGGCATGAAATTTTATACAACAGTGGCATCTTGGAAGTTACCCAAGAAATTTATTATTAGATGGTAGAGAAAGTTTTCACTTCCCCCAAAAGGGAGCAGACAGACAAGCATCATGATGAATCAGGATAAATTCTGAACATTACAAATGGTGACAGAAAGTCCTGATGTTTTAAAACAAGAAAGATTTTCATCTCCCCCCGCCATTTCTTTTCATTTTAACAATACAAAAGGAAATTTAATTAGGGTACCTGATAGAATGACCCCCAGTTCTGGATAGGTGCATTTATCTTGTACAGCATTCGTTTGAAAAACCATTCAACAAAAGTTTTGTGCAGTCTAGGCTGCTTAATTTGTTAACTGCAAAGACATTCTTATTTCTCCTTTCTCAAGCAAAGAGGATAGGAACACTCAGTGAGGACTGAAAGCTCTCTCAGCGTTTCAGAAAAGGCAAGATTTGGGGGAGGCTTGTCTCCACTGAGGGGCTGCTCTCTGAATATACTGTGTGGTCATTCCCTCAACCAAATGTAGCCCTCAGAATATGCTGTATGTTCCGAGATACAGGCACATGACAGCCTGCATTTTATCTGCACGTAAGTCTGGAGAAACTGGGAAAGAATGAGCCTTATGTTAACATTACCACTCTTCAGACAATGTTTGCTTTGCTGCATTTTCCATTTCGATAGGTCTTTGTGGAAAAAAAGTCAGAAAATGCTACCGTAAATGAGAATTTCTGTGTGTTGCTTAAAATAATTTGATCGGGATACAATTCATTGTAAAGGAGGTGACTTGGAAGGCTGATAATAAGTCTGTACAAACTCTTTAACTTCCAACTAGGAGTTAAACCTAGCTTTTAGACAGCTGGCATGTCAATATGGTTGCTATTTAATTAATGTGGTATTTGGCACATCATTAAAGACAGACAAAATTTTCATTTTATTTTTGGCATTAAACATCTAAGTTGAATTTTAATAAACTAAAGACTTCAATGGACTTAAACCTAAACAAGTAGAATAATCACATGGTTTGAAAGTCATTTTTCCAAGTACATTTATAAATATATCAACTATGATATGTGAGGAAGAGGGCAATTTTTTAAGGGCAGCTTTCTTTTTCTTGCTTGACTAAAAACAGCAGTGGTTGGCAGAGGAGAACATGGGCAATCCTCAGAGGGGAATAAAGTGAACTAGGAAGGGAAACTCATTTAAGCTGAACTTTTATTGACTTGTAAACATCAGCTACTTGGTATGGTAGGCTTGGTTTGACCTTATTTCCTGGCAAGTGCACCTTAAAGGAGACCGTTTATGGTATATGCTTTTGTGAACTATAGGTTCTTGATGTTGGACTTGGGTCATTTTTGCTAAATAAGTGCTTGTACTTATTAACGATGAGAACTAACTGTTGATTTAATGGATAATAAAAAACTCAAGACTTAGCTCTTACAAACAGGCATATGACAGTTTATATATCTTAAAAAAGATTCAGTGGAGAAAAGAAACTGTTACTCATGAGAGCGTTTAAGGATTGGGAAAGAGTACTCAGTGAGTTTTCTTAGGAAAGGGGGAAAGGGAAAGCAGAGTGGAGAAAAGCTCCTGGAGTTATTTGAGAAAAAAGGACAGATCTAGACCTACCTTGAAGAGTCAAGGAAGCTCAAGAGATAATACAGTAGAAGGCAGGGTCAGATTAGAAAGAGAAACGATATATGTAAAAAAAAAAACTATATATCCAGGAAGAAAGAGGACTGCAGAATTGGATTTAAAAAATGTGTTCTGTCTTTTGTTTACCTTTTTTGAAAAAGTGTTTTGAGAATTTAATGTACAATTTTTTTTTTAAAATAGACTTCATTCTTAGAGCAGTTTTAGATTCACAGCAAAACTGAGCAGAAAGTAGGAAGAGAGGAAGAGTCTTCAGGTAGCCCTGAACATGTTTATACAGTCTTTACCAGGATCACAATGCACCTTTGTGCCACACAAACTTACACTGAAACCTCCTTATTACCCAAAGTGCAACACACACCACTGTGTGTGCTCCTACTGCTGACCTGATGCCTTCTGAACTTACATTTCAATAATGAACACTTGTTTTGTTTTTCTGGACAGAAGGGGAGGAGTCTGATGGAACATTATCATTGTTGGCATCTTATGCACCACAGATGAATGAAGGGCAATGCTTTCCAGCCCCCAAGTGTTCCCAAGTCTATCTATTGATGAGTAGGGGAAGGAAAGACCAAGCACCTCACACCATGGCTCAAGGACAATGCTATTGTTAAAATTCTAAGAACACATTGCCTGTTGGTTCTCTATTTGATCTAAGTCTACCACTGAAAGAAGCATACCATTTGGAAATGCAATAATGCTAACAGTTGAAACTTGTTCCTGAACTGCTTAAGGAGGCACAACAGAAATGATGTTAAGGATATTTCTAGATTTATTAGAAATTTCTAAGCATTATTCTAAGTGTTATGGTTTGGATATGAAATGTACCCCAAGGGCTCATGTGTGAAGAACATGGTCCCCAAATGCAGCAATTTGGGAAGGTGATTGGATTACAGGTTCTGATCTAATCAGTGGGCTAATCTACTGATGGATTCATAATTTGGTGGCTTTATTGGGAGGTGGTGGAAACTGTAGGAGTTGGGTCTAGTTGGAGGAAGTAGGTTACTGGGGAGTGCACTGAACCAACAGACTATGGACTAAAACCTCTGAAACCATGAGC